CGGAGCAACATTTGCATGACTAGGTCCAGAAGTGCCCTGTTTCAGTAAATGCTGCGTAACAAGGGGCTGCTGTCCCCTAACTTCTGAATAAAGCAGCCGTGCCCACTTGGGTGTCTCTGAGTTGACAGTCCTGTTGCATGTAACAGAGTTTAGAAGGTTGCTTTTGTATTTCACTGAAGTGAAATAAGTGGAAATAGTCAAGGAATGTTCCAGAGCATTGCCACCCTTAAAGCAATGTCACATTATTCAGCTATTATTTAACATTGAGTATTGTTATCATTACTGCTATAGATTACAAAAGGCAACGCATTGCAGATGGAAATCTGTGTGCACTTCAGAGGAAGCTGAGAATTTTACTGTTGTCCAATTCATCTGACATGTTTGGTGTTGATACTGCTCTCATTACAGCCTTCGAATTCTTGCACGGTTGATGACGGCTAAGTTCCTACATACAGAAATCAGAGAGAAAGGAGGGGCTTATGGTGGAGGTGCTAAACTTAGTCACAATGGCATATTCACTTTCTACTCCTACAGGTAACAGTAGGTTCATTCTTTCCCATTCCTGTCTGAGGGGACCACTAACTGCACTTGCATGGAGCTTAGTTGTTGTAATTTTGTAGCTGTAGCTTTCTGTCAAGGTTAAGTGAAATAGAATGAACTGAGGAGAAAGTGATTCAGTGCTGATGATATGATTAATTGCTTAATGTATATAATGAACACCTCCTTGCTTTCCCTGGTTTCTGTCATTGGGAAAACCTAAAGTACTTCTGCTGGCAGCAGCCGTTATTGTGTCTCTGTACTGTCTCGGTAACAGATTCATGTAAAACTGGTTTTCACTTGTTTCTTCCTGGGTTGGGCGGGCCCTAAAAAAGGGGAATTCAAGACTATTCTCAGTTTGAGACCAGGAAGTAGAAAGATGCTGTTCCCTAAGGTCCTGAGTTTGAAAATCTGCAGCGTCCCTTGGTGACTGCTGGAATCATCAGAGATGGTGATGAGCTAGAACTGCTTTCTCCTTTTCTTCTTTGTCAGTTCAGTACAGTTATGTTGTGTTGGTCTTACCAAAGCACTTTTGGACGAAATTTGAACTGGAGGTATTAAACACTAGTTAAAATCCCCACTGTCATGTGGCTACAGTCCTGGCTTAAGTCATTTTCCTAGACTGAAGGCAGCCTAGCACAGGACTTGGTCGTGATTCCTAGTTAAAATTTGAGCAGCCTTGCCTTGCTTCATAGAGAATGGAGATTCAACGTGGTAGGACTTGTCCTGGTTAGTATTTCAGTAGTTGTTAACCTGTTGCCCCTGTTCTACAGAGAGCAAAAACAGGTGTAGCAGGAAAAGCAACCTGGAGAAGATAGGGCCTATCACGCTGCTGTACTAGTGGCAGTTGTGCTCAGTAAGCTGGTGCAGCAAGCTGACAGTGCTGGTCTACCATCTTCTTTAATACCAGTTCTCTGCACACTGTCTTCAAACTACTTGTGGGCAAGTGAACTTGCTACACTTGTGTATCTGCAATTCAAAATATGCCTGGTTTAGAACACTTCTTTCTTCTAAAAAAAACCCCAGCTAAACCTCTCTTTGTACATAAAAAGGAAGCGTATCTTTTGGTTTAATCTATCTCCACGTATATGTTTGTGTGTTGCATAGTAAAAACTGTGAAATAAGAACAAAGCAATTACAGTTTTTCATTTTGTGAGACTGAAGTAATCTTACATTTCTTTCTTTTTCTAAGAGACCCGAATTCATTGGCCACCTTGAAAACATTTGAAAAAGCAGTCGAATGGGCCAAATCTGGAGAATTCACACAACAAGATATCGATGAAGCTAAGCTAGCAGTATTTGCTGCTGTAGATGCACCAATAGCTCCTTCAGATAAAGGTATACTCACATCATTTTTTTAAAATTTAAGTTTAAAGGCAAGAAAACAGTTTGCTAAACTGTATCTCATGACAAAAGTTGTATTGGGCAGATGCAATTGCAGTTTCAATGAACCAGTCAGTTTCTGTTGCTCCCTTTCAGAAATGCTACATGACTGAGTCTTTCTACTGAAGTAGGTGGTGTTTTTTTTCATATTGCTTCTTGATGTCAGGTGAATACAGCTAGGAGATGGAGGGAGATTAAGGAAACAACTCTAGGCTTGGAAAGGGCATTAAATGCAAGCAAATAAAAAGGAAATACTGATCTTCTGATTTGAGAGAAGCTGAAGGATTATTTTCCTGACACAAGTATGCATACTGACTATGAATATCACTGATGTTTTGTGCATAGTTGTTTCTGAAGAATCATAATAGTGTGTCTGCAGTGGTGGAGGGTGTTACCCTCTTTGCGTGTCTGCGTGCTTCGGATGGGTTGGTAGTATCTTCACATCTTTTCAGTTTGCTCACACCTTGCTTTGCTTTCTTCACTTTTCCCTCCCTCCCACATCCTCAGCTTAATTTCAGTCCAAAACTTAGTGAGTTAGAATATATTCCTTTCCTATACATAATGCTACTTTTAACTTTATAACTCCTTTATTTTAGTATGTACTTGTATTAGCAGTAACTTGACTAAACAAGTTAAAATGAAGCTGACCCAACTTGGGTTTTTGTCTGGGCAATTAATCAGTTTTTGGTGTGTACAGGTAAAATGCACACATGCTGAGTGTTGGTATTTGTGAGCAGTGTTTTACCTTCTTTTTGCTATTTGCAAAATAGGTCTGAAGTTGTTGCAGAGAGAAATGTGTTCCTCCATGCTGCTGTTACTGTGCAACCTTATCTAACCTGGAAGTCAGGCAGGAGGTTGGACCAGATCTCCTCCCAAGCTGCTTTTTTCAGATTCGTACATTTTCAGATTTCTGTGTAGTACAGAAAGGTGATCACAACTTTGTGTTGCACATCCATTACAACTGATGAAAAGTGTTGCAATAAACCACAATGAGAATAGAAGTTTTATGAAAACTCACCAAAATTGAACATGAAGAATCTTTATTTCCTAAATAAGAAACTCTTACCACCTCAGAAAATTAATTTACCCAGTTCTGACCTTTGATAGTTGATTTACAGTTAGAGACTGTCTTAGAACAGTGGTCTCTGTTACTCCCTGCCAGCACATGGACCTGCCTTAGTTTGCACTGGTCCATGCACTTTGTTGTCACAGTGACTCCAGTGCAGGGGTTCGTTTGATTTTTTTAATTTTCCCCTCTCAGGAATGGATCAGTTCTTGTATGGGATTTCAGACGAAATGAAGCAGTCCCATAGAGAACAACTTTTTGCTGTCAACAGCGATAACCTGGTTGATGTATCAAACAAGTAAGTCTGTGCTTCAGGAAAAAAATTTCATTAGGAAAATGTTTACTTGAAAAATAGAACAAAAAAAAAAGTAATTTGAAACGTTTCTGAAAGTTGTCATAATAAAGTTCTCGGATTTCTTCCCATGGCCTTTTGTACTACTTCCACTACTTGCTTTTGTAACCTCAAAAAAGAGATGTTAAATACGTCCTGCTTCCTGCATTGCAGGAGATGTCTCTGAGTGTGTGGGAGATTGTATCCCTTGTGGAGGGTCTGGAGAGGGTTCACTCAGACACCCAGCTCCTGGTGACGTGAGCTGGTGCTTCAAGACTCGTAGACTTTTCCATGGTAGACTTAATCCTGAGGTTAGGGAGATAGGCTGGTCAGGGTGGCACCTTAGGAGACTGTTGTGCTGTGATGACTAGTGAAAAAAAACTAACTAACTCCGAAGGATGCTGTGAAGGCAAACAAGTGGTACATACCAAACAGCAGTTTTTCCCTGAGAGGGGAATATTTTTAACTTGTGTGACAGAATTAAGGGTAACCAAATGCAGCAGCTTCATTTGTTTGTCTTTTTCCTTCTTGTAGGTATCTTGCAGTTGGGAGGAGCACTCGTGGCCAAGCTGTACTTGGCCCAGAAAACGCAGATCTCACCAAAGATCCCTCATGGGTCAAACGATGAATTGCTGCTGAACACCCAAGCTAACCCAAACCAAACCCATCTGTGGGACTGCATAATGAGGATTTTTTAGTAACTTTTAACAGTGCTATGATCCAACTGAAATGCTCATTGCTGCTTTTAACAGTGTCCAACCAACCAGTTAAAAGCTGTCCTTAAAATATCTGTGTGAGAAACTTTCTAACCCTACACTATGATAGTAAGAACTATATGCTCTGTATGGCAAGCAGACCTTAATATTTTACTGAACTCACTCCTCCAATTGCATATGAATACTATATAAATTAAATATTTTTGTATATGTAAAACTCTAGTTTTAAATGGTTTTGTTTGAAATCACATCTGCTGTTGGATGCTTCAACTACATCTCTCCTTCCAACAGATGTAATTCTCTGGTGTGGTAATTTCAGCTTTCTTTGCATAAGCCACTTGCAGGTAGAGGAGCTTTGAGAGCACTTCCTACTGCCCCTCAGGCCAGGTTTGCAGTGGATTGCAGGTTGGGGCCAAGTCACCAATGAATCCCTGTACAGTGTGTTCTAAGTCAACTTACCTTGCCAGTCTGGGCAACATTCAATCACTTGGTACTGTGACATGGTCTTGTATTTAACTTCTTGTCAAGGTGGAGTTAACAGATAAGCACAGCCTGAAGTGTTTCCTTATGCCAGTTTATCAGCCTAATTTTAAAAATGTAGTTTTACCCTTTTTCATTACTATTTAAAAAAAAAAAAAACTATGGTCTTGAAAGAAGTTGAAAGAAAGAAAACACATGGGAAAGACCAGATAACACCCTTCTGAAGCTCAAGTTGTTAAAACTCCCTCCACGCCTCCTGAAAAGTAGTGCTACCATTCCTGTACAAGGAAAAAGGGTTCAGAGTTTTAAGCTGATTGTGAAGAAGCACTGAATCCAGCTTGCCCTTCTGTGACTACTTCCTGCATGGTCAGGAAAAGGGCAGTTGCTTTCTCCCTTTCACTGGAGCACATAAGGAATCCTTCACAAAGCTTTATTACTACCTGTCGTTTAAAAGCAGGTGAACAAAATTTCTGACAAGTCACTGGTAATGTTTGCAACAGTATTTTATTTCACTTCAGATACATTAAGCACATCCTGTAACTCAAAACACAAAGCTAGCCACCTACACTTATTTTTTGGGTGTAAGTACTCTGAAAGGAAGTGCAGTAGATGAGTAACTTACAGAGTGCATAGAACAGTGTCGCACTGACTGTTAAAGGGCAGTATCAGTAAATGGTGCTTACCCATTAGATGCTAGGGTGGTTTCAAACGTAACACAAATACAGGACAAAATCTGTGACATCTGAACGTCTTGTTCCATGTAAAGTGCTGGTACAATAATTTAAATGTTACAAAACAAAGCAGTAATGATCCTAAAGCACTGTTACTCACAATGTGCATCTATTACAATAATGGAAGAGTGATGTCGTTAGATGGCTCCGGTCTCTGCTTCCTTTGGGCTGTGCCTAGTCACGTGCTCCAGCTGCCCCGAATCTGAAACGTCGTAACTAGTCTTGTACTTGGCCAGGATTTTCATCAGTGGTCGCAGCTTCAGCCACCATTGCTCCTTGGGAATCCTGTGCCTGTGGAGGTGTGGTGGGAAAGGAAGGGTGAGGGGATTTAGTGTCTTAAGACAACCACCTCTGACAATCCTAACAATAATGGGCTGCTGTACAAATAGGAACAGACTGTGTTCCTATTTTTAGGGGGGCATATAAATACTGACTCAAAATTGGGAGAAATAGAGATGCAATACTGAAGGAATTAAGAGATATTACTGGAAGATGTTCCTTATAGGTAAGCATAATACCAAATCTAGCACAAAAATACGGCCCCGCTGAACTGTGCCAGAAGCAATTCTAGGCATCAGAGCAGAGACAATTACAACAAGGTTACTTAAAAGGACTCCACTTAAAAGTGGAGAATTCATAACAAGAGACTTCCAAGTGTAAGGACGAGGAAGAGAGAGCGCGAAGGGAGTTGTTAGAGAAGACAGTGAGCAATCGGAGTGAAGAACCAGCTGACCGCAGGCCAGCGACACAAGTGGAGTGGACCGGCTGGCAAACGCTGGGTGCCAGCGCTGGGGAGAAGTTGTCCCTTTGATGTGCTGAAAGGAACCCTGTGTGGAGACGTTTAAAATGGAAGCAGCATCTACGTACACAAAGTCTGTTTCAGTCTTCAGCTCCGCCACCGGCTGGAAGATGAGGTTGCGTCGACGCATTCCCAGCAAGCAGACCGAGTCGTCAGTATTGGCAAATACTTTTCCTAAAAAGAATGGAATCATTCAGGATCTCTCGTACTCACAGTTGTAAGGGCAAATACTCTTCTGTGATTAAACTTGAAGCTTGAAGTAGCTTAGTTTCAGTTATTGAATCTTTAAAATAATGATAAAACATCAATTAGTACTTAATAGTGTTAGATTGGAACTTTTTCAATTTAGCTTTGGTGATTAGCAATGAAAACAGTGTAATTAAAGAACAATAAGACTGAATTTTAACATCCAATTTTAAATTAGATTTTAGTAGACAATGCTTTAAAAAATGCCCAAAGAAGACATATTACCTTCTTCTGTCTCCCATGTAGCCACCATGAAACAAAAAGGAAGAACAGATGTAACTATATAACCATCAATTCCTTCATGCATGAAAAACTGTAATCACACTAGCATTTTTTTAAAGAAAGGCAGGAAAACAGCTATCTGAATTATTGGCCTCACTTGAGGGGAAATCTTACAGCAGGAAATTGAGCAAGGCACTACTGAACAATAAAAACATAAAGAGGGAAAGAAGCATGCTAACAAACCAACATACATTCGTATGTTTGCATAGTAGGGCAGACTTATATACTGACAGCTAATCAAAGGCAGTCACAAAAGCACCTTTTCGGTAGGTTTCTTTCAGTTTTTTGGAGATCCACTGCATAGCTTTTGCAGAAATTTTTGTCCCAAAGTTTCTATCAAATGGCGAAGGTGCACCACCCTGTGTAAAAATTTAAGTCTGGGTTAGTTGAGTTATCAAAGCAATATTTGTGTCTTTTTGTTTTATCATTCATCTCTGTTAACTGCCTGCTCTACCTCTTATTTCCACCTCTCCACTTGGGAACACAACTCAACGAACCAGAAGTGGCACCAGCCAAAGGCAGGCTAAGGGGTGAGTCTCCGTGTCCTGCCCCTGCAGCGTTCTCCCTCATCACCGGGAGGCAGCCGCGCTGTGCCGCAGGGGGCCTGCTCCCGCACCCGCCGCCCGGGATGCTGAGGGAGCCTAGGGAACCCAAACCCTGACTTGGAAATCTAGGAAGCCTGGGAGGCAGTAACATGGCAGCTAGAACGAGGAAGGCCACAAAGCCCCCTGACTGACACTAGGATAAAAAAAAAGACAGATTAAGCCTTTGTAGAGAGCAGATTTTTTTTTTTTTTTTTTTCTGCTTTCATTCCATGTATTACAGAACCCTTTATATAGTCCAGCAGTGTGCACTTGCAGCCCAGAAAGCCAACCAGATCCTGGGCTGCATCAAGAGAAGTGTGGCCAGCAGGTCGAGGGAGGTGATTCTCCCCCTCTACTCTGCTCTGGTGAGACCCCACCTGGAGGACTGCATCCAGTTCTGGAGCCCCCATTACAAGAGGGATGTGGACCTGCTGGAGCGTGTCCAGAGAAGGGCCACGAGAATGATCCGAGGGCTGGAGCAGCTCTCCTATGAGGCCAGACTGAGAGAGTTGGGGCTGTTCAGTCTGGAGAAGAGAAGGCTCCGAGGTGACCTTATTGTGGCCTTCCAGTATCTTAGGGGGGCCTACAAGAAAGCTGGGGAGGGACTTTTTAGGATATCAGGTAACGACAGGACTAGGGGGAATGGGGCAAAGCTGGAAGCGGGCAGATTCAGGCTGGATGTGAGGAAGAAGTTCTTCCCCATGAGAGTGGTGAGACCCTGGAATGGGTTGCCCAGGGAGGTGGGTGAGGCCCCTTCCCTGGGGGTCTTCAAGGCCAGGCTGGATGAGGCTCTAGACAGCCTGATCTAGTGGGAGGTGTCCCTGCTCATGGCAGAGGGGTTGGAACTGGGTGATCCTTGTGGTCCCTTCCAACCCTGGCAGATTCTGATTCTGTTTTAGCAGAGGACTTAGTAGTGTTGGCTTGATGGTTGGACTTGATGATCTTGATGATCTTAAAGGTCACTTCCAACAAGGATTCTATGATTCTGGGAACAGAAGTGTTATTTTTGTTTGGTTTGAAACCCTCTGTCAATACTCCATAAAGCCTGACTTTTCTGTCCATTTCCAAGGCAGCAGATGGTACTGAAATAATATGTGACATAGTTCCAAGTAGTTCCAGATGGAACTACTAATGCTGGTCTCAACCTTCAAAATAAACTTTGCTACATTTTGTGCAGAAAACACCAACCTTATCATTGAATAATCTAAAAAGGTATCAATAAGGGGAATATACACACAATTGGAAATGGCTTAACAGGAGAAACAGTTGTTTCACTACCAGTACTTGAGAAATTTGGTTCTACACGTACTTTTTGCCCTAGCTCAGTCTCGGTGATTATGACAGCAAAATTAGAAGCTTACTATTTCTCCACTAAGCAGTATAGGGAGACAAAGAGGTGCCAGGGACACCACGAGGAGTAGCTCACTACAGTCTCTTCTACAAGAACAACCCTTCTGCACTTATTTTCTTAATGAAATCTCATCTCTTCTAGCGTTCAGAAACCAGCTGTTCTAAGGATTCTTTACAACAAAATGGCTGTATTATCTATTTAAAAAGTATAATTGTTTAGGAATACAGATAGGAGATGAATAAAAATGAAAATCACAATGAATCTCATGCATTTTTTCCCCTGATTTTTAAGAAGAAATTGCAATAAAATACAATGCTAACAAACTTCTGAGTTACCGACAGACATCCATGTTTTGACTTAGTATTTTTTTTTTTTTCAGTCTGGAGTCAGACTTGCTTGAAATGCTTGAATAGTGTATGCTCTAGGTTCACACGAAGTTTAGGTTGTCTGTAACTTTTATGGTCATTTTTACCTGCTGCATGTGGCCCAGTACATTTTTTCGACAGTCAAACACTCCTTTTCCTTCTTCAGAGTACAGCTGATAAATGAAGTCAGTTGTGTAGTTCTCGTTGCAGTTCTCATTTCTGTAACAAAAAAGGCCAGAAACAGTTAACAAATTTACTGTTAAGTAGTGGTTGTCTTTACAAGTACTGAATGACAAATGTTTTCCCATTTTTCTGATACCAGTCAACATGGCTGGGATATTTTCATCTCACCACCTATGTTCACTTGCCAGCAACACGCTCCTGATTTTGAAGTCTGCATTACTTTTACCACACTGACATCACTTGCAGATCACTCAGAATACACTGTTGTATGCAGTAGTGAAAAGTATCATTTTAGGTCTGACAAGTTCATTATGCAGAGGAAAAACTGTACTAAAACAAAAAGTCATTGACCTCCAATGTCATTATTTTGCCTTTATAGGAGCATGGATAATAAATAGCACCTTAGGCTCTTCCTTACCAATACTGTAAATGCAGGATATTTTTTCATCCTCATCACGTAACTAGTAAAACCTAAAGAAATATAATGGTGTCCACATACAACTTACTGTGGTATTCATTTTTCAGCCCTTTGCTTTTTGGCAGACTGAAAATAAATATTCAAGAGAAGCTACAGCCTGGTTCAGGCTGCCCAAGAAGGTGTCTTCTTAAAAAATGCTAAACAACATATTTTAAAGGTTTTTATTTTTGAAAGTTATTTTAGTCTGTGTTATCTCCTAAAATCTTTTACAGCAAAGCCCATACTATATGTGCACACATGTATGCAGGTTTTCACACGGTCTTCAATAAGAAAGACTCTAAAACAAAGCCAGTCAGAAAACAGGCTAAAAAATAGGATAAAATATTAGATTACAGAGAAAATACATTTACATAGAAAGAAGGAAGTTTTGGACTTGAGTTTCCAGAGAGCTCCCATAATTGCCTTCTGGAGCAAAAACTTTGCTCTCATGCTAAAGGAATAAACAAGGACTATAGACTTGGAATGTGTTTGCAAGGGGCTGCACGAGCTCAGCATCACGGATGCCATCTACTGAAACTCCTCTTGCTTACCTCAGCACTAGACCTCGCTGGATACTGGTTTTCATTTTTTCAGTCAAGTGTTCCACATTAGCCTAGAAACAGCAGAAATATTTTTAATGAGCCATACTCTAAACTCTAAAACAACTTCAAGGAGCCTGCACATCCCGAGAAATTCTGGAAAGTATTCCACAGAAAGTACTATGTGCCAATTCAAATAATCAGCAGGTTTTTGGAGATCCAGGATAATATACTGTATACAGCTATTCATCTTGGGTTAAAACTTTTTCCTGCACCTCACCAGTAACTGATTTTTATAGCAACAATTTTTTTTTTTTTTTTAAATGCTATACTGGTACAGTACCTTATTATAAAATTACTGAAATAATATAAAATATTATAGAAATTATCTAAGAATATTATAAGGTAATATAAAATAATATAGACATAAAAACATGTAGATTGCCACAGAAGACTGTAGCTTGCTTTTGCTCCCAGTCCTTGCAGCAGTCCTGCTATAGATACAGAGAGGTACTGCTCTGCCAGTACTCCCATGTATGACATGAAGAGTACACGACACTGAGAAATGAATGGGGAGGAATCAGGAGTCATTTCACATCCCTTTCCCTTTCAGTAAATTTCCACCTTTTTAGTTTTGTATTTGTCTGTGACTCCAGCTAGCACCATCTACCAAATCCTCCTGGCAGACAAGTTCCACACCAGCTTAAGCCCTAATCTGAAAGATCTCAGGCTTTAAGGATTAATTTTAGTAACATGCTCGAACACGCTCTGAATAGTTCCAGTACCAAGTCAGTATCTAATACACCTTACACACTGTTCAGTTCCTCACCTGAATTGCCTTCTAACACAATGAACTAAGGAAACATAATAATGGAAAAGGTACTCCTTTTTTATTTTTGTCTTTCTCCTTTCCTCTTCTTTAAAAACTTCCCAGGTCTGTTCAGTTAGATGTAATTTGAATTTCAATCAGAAGAGTTAAAAAAAGAAGAAGAAGTGTGTATATGTTCCTTTATGTAATATGGCATAAGAACTGCCATTCTATCAAAGTGCTAAAGACACGTACAGCTCTTAGATACCATCTAAACACTTTCTGCTGTTGTTACACGAGCCATCCACTTCAAATATACACATTACTCTACAGAAGTACAACCACTTTAGGATCTACTTAAAAACAAGGGTGACACTTATAGTGCTGTATACCTGGAGCTCTCGAATATCAAACTGTTCTTCAAAGATGTAAGCAGCATCAGCTCCTGCTGCCAGGGCCCCCATGTTGGCCAGGTAACCACAGTAGCCACCCATGGTCTCGATGATGAACACGCGGCGCTTGGTGCCGCTGGCCGACTGCTTGATGCGATCACATGTCTAATCGAAGACAAGATAGTCTAAGTTTAAATTTTAAAAAAAGCCTTTTTTTTTATTTTTATGTGTCATGCAACTTTGTGTCACTTATTGGTAAAAGAACTTAAAGCATTTATAAAAAATTACATCTTTTAAAATTCCAAAATAGCATAACCCATTTAAATATCATTATTACCAAATAAAGTAATTCTTATAAAGCACACATTGAACACCATGGTTAAAATAAAATGTTTTGCTACAATCAACTCTTCTCTAGATGTTTCCTGCAAATACTAAAACAAGATTTTGTTTTGTGCATGGAATTAATAGTTGTGGTAGTTTTCTATCAAGAGATACAAATTGATATAAAGGAGCTTTTTAATAGTTCAAGTACAAGTAAGTCTTTCTTGCTTTAACTCTATCCCTTACTGAAGAGTTCTCCTCTTCTTAGTATTGATTTTAAAATTCACTGCATTCCCAACCATACTTAAAAGTTAAAATTTCTTAAACTTAAGTCCTGAGCATGTAATCCTTATTGCTTATTTTCCAGTAATGATGTCCACACAAATACAATTATTTCAAGCACTACTGGAGCATTTTGTAAAATACTAGGGGTTTTTAATAGACACATACTTAATATAAAAAACTGCAATTGCCATTTGCATCTTACTCTGATCAGCATAAGAATTTTCTCTGCAAAGAGATCTGTTGCTTACATGCCACCAGTTAACATCAGTGTTTCTTAGAGCTGCCTAAGAGACTTAGGAAAGAACAAAGAAAATTTCCACTGTGGTAGACCTAGGAAACATGATGATGTTAAAAAATCCCAATGCCTTCCTGATTTTCTTGATGAGTAACTGCAGATGCTGCAATATTTCAGGCATTCCT